TTTTTTTTTTTTTTTTTTTGAATTTATCTAACTGACTCTTTAAACAATCTACTTCACTTTTTTCATAAATTGATTGCAGTAGTTTATTCCTATGCGTCTCAAGTTTATAGTTGACGTTTATTTTTCAGCTGTTAACGCAGAATTCTTAGATAAAATTGTTACCAAGACTGGTTGTTAGGAACTTGTTGGTTCTGTATAGCCAGAGTTGCTGTCGTTGTTTTTTTTTTCATTGTTGATATTATTAAGGTTACTGAGGACTGACAGATATAGTCAATCATAGCTGTATGGGAACCTGAACATTTTTGAGTTTTTGAGCATTCGCTGTTGCTAGTGTAATTTTAGCACTTCATTTTGCTTCTGTTACAAATTCATTGTCGTAATGTGCTGCTTATTGATTCATCTTTTTTATCTTTTTACTTTTTTTTTCTTCCTATTTTTAATTGTTTATTGTTAATAGTTTCAGAAGAAACTGGCAGTTTAGATTCGCTTATCGTTTTTAATTATTTGCATGGTACTGGAGCTCTGAGTTTTATTATCTTTTCATTAAAAAATGCTGGATTTGTCACCAAATTACTGCTGTTTTTGTGCGTTAATTTGAGCTTCAATGCTTTAATTTAAACTCTATAGATCTCGAGCATTGTTCAAAAACCACTTTTTTGTGCAAAAGGTCAGCAGTATCTCAGCTTGTCAAATTTGAAGCATCAATTCTCGGGTTGTTTTTATAGCTACTTTTAGAGCGGTATTATAGGATTAAGTTTGTTTGTCAAGCATATAAAACACTTGAAAACGAGAGCTTGCACAAGAAAGACTTTGGATTTTTAGCATATGCTCAAGATTTGCTTTTTCATTGACTTTATTTTTCTCAAACCTTTATCTGTAATAATACTTAAGAAGAGAGTGCGTGTTGTGTCTGGTTAAGAGTTAAAAAGTGTTTGTGGAAACATTCTGTTGACAAATCGCTTTTTTACATCAGTTCAGTAAGTTGGTGTTATTTGCTTTCTCATCTTCTGTTTTCGCTTGTTTCCTTTTCTTCCGATTTATTGGTGACGATTGGGACTTACGATGTTACTTGTTTTTTCGTGGTTTTTGTTTTACGTCGGATGAGAAATCGGTACCTGTTAAACTTAAGTAGTAGTAGTTTTGTTTAAGCCTATGTGTCTGCTGTTTGGATAACAGATTGATACACGCTTGTGGTGTGTGTGTTATCAGTAAAGAAAAGTGTGCAATAGATTTTGATCTGTAAAACAATGTGGAAAGTAATGGTAGTAATAAGTGAACGAAAGAGTGTATCTATCTGGTTGGTCAACATACTAATAGTGTCATTTACTGTCATAAGATGAAGCTTTTTTTGCTGTTGTTGATGCATTTTTTTATATTGAAAAAAACGTAGAAACTGAACGTAAGACGATATAGAGATGAAGTGTTAATGCCCGTAATATTTTTTTAATCGAATACGTTCGAAAAGGGGGGAGATATTTGCCATTGTTCCTGCTGAGTGATTTGTAGGCAAAAAAAGAACACAGCGATTCTTTTTCATCGATGTCTGATGATGGTGGTGACGATGATGCTCTAAACATCAATGACTCTTAACTGGTTTTCTTGTGTATTGGGGCAGCTCAAAAAAAAATTCTTTCTGGCCATCATTTCCTTCTTCATTTTACTACTTGATACAATTCCGCTTTTGCCGAATTTGACGTTAGTAGCAATAATTTAATTCGTTCTGTCACTCTTCTTTTGGATTATACTTTTCCCATCGAGTGATTTATTCAACTGTTGCTGGGTTTATAGAACTTAGACTCTTTTTTTTGCTTACGGTATTACTTTTTGTTAAGCAAGATAGGTTTTTTTTCGACTTCTGCCTATGGTTGAGACCCTTTGCCATCGCAGTCGTTGTCGTATCATTTACACTGTAAAGGCATTGGTATTACTATTTTTATTGTTATTATTATTAATTGCATTTTTATTTTTATTTGTATTATTATTATCATTGTTATTATTATTACTAGTATTATTTTTTTTTATTTCTGTTTTTATTTCCATTTTTATTTTTATTATCTTTATTATTGTCATTATTATTACTATTTGTTGTTATTATTATTTTAATCTGAGCTTTTAAACCGTTGATTTTTCAACAGCTGCTATTGTCAGTGATCACTGGCGAATTTTTTTAGGCTGAAAAGACATTTTTTCCTCTTTTTGCCTGAATAGTGGGTAGGGATGAGGAAAATGGGATGAGGTGGTGAAAAGGTTATTAAAGGTGTAATTGAGACTTTCTGGTATCTATGTTGGTGAAAAATTTTTACCTGATTAATTCAAACGTCATACTATGTTCTAAAACTTTAGATCTGCAATGATCGACTATGTGTCGCCAACAGTATCCTTTAACGAACTTTCTTTGAAAGACAATCGTGAGTGCAGTATTTCAGCTGCAAGTATTGAAACGGGACCGACAGCTGATTCTGCAATTGGTATGTGCATGTATGAGAATCGTTTCATGCTCCTTTGTTTATTGTCATATAATCATTCCGAAAACCGGCTTTTTTTTGCTCTGTTTTTATTCTTTGCACTTTAATGTTACCAAACTTTTCTTTTCTTGTTCTTTTCTCTGCCCTCTTCCTTTTCAAAAAAAAAAGAAAGTTTTCTTTTTTGAATTTGCGTCATTTTTTATTTTCCTGGTACATTATTCAGGGATATATTGACTTGGCTGAATTGATCTTCTGTTCATTTCAAAAGTACTAACAGATCCGTTTTTTCTCAAGTATGAGTATATCAAGACAAAGTGTTTTTGTAATTTTTTTCAGAAAGCTAGGGCTTTGGTATATATAAAAACAGAGCCTGCTAGCAGATTATTAGTTGAGATAGTAGTGTATAGGTGAGTATAGATTTGAAAGTTTTTTGTAAATCATATGTCGTGGTTAAGGAAGTGTTTTTAAAAAATATTTTTGCATAGTCAACAGTAATAGACTAGAGCGTGATTTTCAATATATGAATGACGGTTTTTTAACATTACGAATTCAATTGTTCAGCCAGTCTTCTTTCGTTGTATTGTTCTTTGTTTTTCGAATTTCATTTTATTTTGTTTTGGAAACAGATATATATACGTTCTCAATTGATGCAGGTGATTCGTTGAGCTCTAAAAGAAGTTCGTTGGATCGAAAAAGCCAGAGTTCTTTTGTTGACTGGGCATCTGATGCTGGTTCTCATACATCTCCACGCTTTTGTGAAGACGATGCAGGTATTGAAGAGGACAGCGTCTTTAATGAGAAAGATACATCAGGTTCCTCGTCCACTAGAAGGAAACTTCCATTACCTAATATTAGTCTTCCTAGGTACCTTTTCAAATCGCCCTGTATCATTTTTACTTTTAGGGCACTTTCAAATTTAACCTTTTTGAAACGGTGCTTCGCTCTCTTGACAACTTTTTATCAATATAAAGCACGAATTTTGTGAAACTGTAGCTCACATTGTCGTGATCTAATTGCGATTTACTTATTATTTCCTACTTCTAGGGTCTTTTTTTCAAGAAATAAACAACCCGTTATAAATGAGCATTCTTCCTACAGTAGCCATCCATGGCGCATTTTTTCTGATAGGAAGAAGATGAAAAACTCTGAAGTTGTTTCAACAACAGGGCTTATTCTTGAGCAGAGACCCAGGTTGGTTATTTTGATTCAAAAGTATTTCGTTGGTGAGTCTGTAGAAAGAGACGCTTTCTAAGCATTATTCTAGGAACTTGCCTGCTAAGTCAGAAGAAGAAGAAGCAAAACATCGGGCTCAGTACCTGCAATTAATAGAACAGGCAAAGAAAAAAGAAGCCCGGGAAGCAAAAGAAAGGAAAAGAGCCGAGCAGATGCAGAGACGACTGGAAGATCAAGCAGCAGCTGCCTGCCGTTTATGGAGTGAGACTATACTTCCCAAGTGGGAAGAAATGTGAGTTTGCATGCAATTTTCCAAGTAACGTTGTATGATTAGATGTAACGCCCGAGTTTTTTTATTATGGATTTTTTGAAGGAAAAACACCAAAAGATGTCGGGAACTTTGGTGGCAAGGAATACCTTCAAAAGTTCGGGGTCGTGTTTGGCTTCTAGTAATAAAAAACGAGCTGAATTTGACGGAAGGTACATGAGTTTATCGTATTATTTGTGTTTTTTTATATTTCTTTTTTTCAACAGTACGATTTTTTATCTTTAGTGGAAATTTTTTTTATGGTACTAGTTTTATTAGCGGATCAGTTCATTTTTTCTGTTATTTTCTTACTCGGAATGGGATTTTTCAGAGTTATACAACATTTGCTGCGCAAGAGCTTTGGAGCGACTTTCAGCTGTGAATGAGGAGGGAACAGTCGGGGAAAACTCGGCCCAGTCTCATAGGCGTACAGACTCTGGAGTTGTTGAAGGTTATTTAGAGTTCTCCAATTTAAACACTTATAAAATAAAAACATTTTTTAGAATTCTTAACGATATTTTTAGGCAGGTTCTAAGTGAGTAGTGTATTTTCATTTATAGATTGTACTTCTGCTCAATCTTTCAATCGGGAAAGTACTGTGGAACTGATACATTTGGATGTGTCGCGGACATTTCCAAGTCTCGGTATCTTTCAAAAGGTCCAGTTAGCTTGCCAGTTTTTTTTTCGTTTCTTTATTCTCTTCTTTTAACAAGGCTACCGTTTTACGCAGTTATTCAAATAAGTTTTTAGGGCGGGCCGTATTACGATTTGTTATTAAAACTGTTAGGCGCTTATGTTTGTTATCGTCCTGATGTTGGCTATGTTCAGTCGATGTCATTTGTCGCTGCTGTACTTTTACTCCAAATGGAGCCTTACGAAGCTTTTATTGCCTTTGCGAATCTCTTAAATCGCCCTCTTCTAGTATGATTTATTAACAGCATTTAAAGGAATTTTTAATGAATATATAGGTGGAGGATGTACAGTAAGGGTCTTCTGATGGAAGTATGGGGCCTTTTTTGGTGGAATGAAGAAGGGATTTGCAGTTTTATGGGCTTATTAAAAGCTCAAAGTTTTCTTCTCATTCTTTACATTTTACAGCTCGCATTTTACCGTTTACGACAACCCCAAATGACTGTTTATTTTATTGCATATGATCAGTATTTTGATCAAGAGTTACATACGTTACATTCCCATTTTGATGAGCTTGATGTGCGACCTGATCTTTACCTCATCGAGTGGTGAGTTTGAGAAATCTTATCTGATTTCTATTCTGTCTTTTCACCTTAGTACCTATATAAGTGGTATTTTGTTGCTACTGCATTGGTCCTTTCTTTTCAAGGGTTTACACTCTGTTTGCTAAATCGTTGCCTTTTGATGTAACTTGCCGGGTATGGGACATGTTCTTAAGGGATGGAGAAGAGTTTTTGTTCAAAACAGCACTTGGTAAGTCTTTTTTTTAGGGTCTTTATTTCTTACAGGACATTTTTATCTTTTTTATTTGATCATTTGTGGAAGAAAATTTTTAGGCATACTACGTCTTTACGAGCGGCAATTACTTGAGATGGATTTTGACGAGGTTGTGCAGTTTCTAACTCATTTACCAGATTCTTTAAGTGGATCTGAGCTTTTTCATAATATAGAACCTTTTATGCGCACCTATGCTTCTAACGGAGAGTCTTCTAAAAGCAAGAGGAGGTTTTTACAGGTATATTTCTATAATATTAGTCTAATGGCTTTTTTGAAAAAAATTATCTTATGAGGTCGTTTGCAGATCGTTGAGGATGTTAATCGTAGAATAAATCCTGGAGGATGTAGTGCTTCAGATTCGTCGTATTCTTTAAGCAGCATGTCATATATGGGTGATAATGCGTCACACTCTTCTCGATTAACTCAGCTTTCTAGCAACATGCAGAGTTTGAAAATGAGCAAAAGTTTAAGCGGTTTCCTCGGTAGGTATTCTTTTGTTGGTCTCTAATATATTTTTCCAACTGATGTTAAAATACTCATTCTTAAGTATTAAATTTTAAGGTGACTTGCTGAAGCCTCCTCCGTCATCAGCCTCAACAAATTTTTCTTTAAGTACCCACGATCAGTTAGCATCATGAAACGAACGTAGGAGTTGGAAAGGGCATTAGCTAGGCACATTTTCGCAGGGTTTCTTTTGCGAAGGTAATTTTCTGATCTAATGATGGTTGTATCTTCTGGTCTAGTGAAGGCTTTTGTCTACTTAGTTTGTTTTGGTTTTTGAAGTTTTAATTGTGTTTTACTCGTCACTGGTGACTTATCATTGGCTTACTGGATTGTTGCACATCATACAATATTTTATATGTGTATATGCGATGTTAATTTGCTCCTTTTTTTCGACGCATTTTTGATTTTTGGCACTTTACAGAATGAACATAATTCATTGAATTTTACTATTATTTTAGGCATAAATTTTATTCTTTTTGCTACGCCTTAAAGTTCTTTCATTTTCTGCTTAATTAATAACTGCTCTAGCGGGCTTTCGATTTTTTTGCTTTTCTATTTTCCTGTTTTTTCTTGTCTTCTTCAAAACACTTTAGAAAAACTATGGTGCTTGATTGTGACTCTCTACTGAAAGATTTATCATTTTAAGGTGTTATTAAGTGGCCAGTAGCCAAGGGATTTTTTGTTTATTTCAAGTTTAGTAGTTTTTTTCAATCTTCAGTGGCGTTAGTTAAATCATATGATAATAATAGTAGTAGTAATAATAATATTAATAATAATAGTGAAAATAATAATGGTGATTTTTATTATTAATTAATTAATAATAATAATAATAATAATAATAGTAATAGTAAAGCAGCATTTGTAATGCTAAGTACATCTTAAGATTAAGCTGCTGCGAGCGATCGTCTGAAATTTTTTATGTAAGTATATATTTATGAAGAGGAAAAATTTTAGACGATACTGTAGTGATGGGTTTTTAATTGTTGGGTTTCTTAAAATAGCGATGGCTTTTTGAAGTTGGTATTTTACTGTGGA